ATGTGCAGTTTTCAAAACTTCAACCCTATAGATGAGTGGTACAACAAGCTGTTTGTAGGAGTTGTTGGCTCTCTCAAAATACCTCATAAGAATGCCATTTTTTATGAAGAAGTACCACTTCCCTCCCTTACTTTTCTTATATCCAGAGTATTGTGCCTTAAGAAAATACTTCTTCAAAGTTGGGTCCGATTGCTGGCATTCCTTGAAACTACCCTGGGCCCCTGGTTTTGATGTAATGTTATGTTCTTCCGAGGTTATGGTTTCTGGAATAACCAGCTGACTTCCATCAGAAGCCTCCACAACTGCATCGGTTTTGGCGTATTCATTTTTTTGAATTTGTTGGGCTCTTGTGACCACTGCGTTTGCCACTCGTTCGTGAGCACTGTACCAATGTTTGATTTCTTCTTCAGTTGGTTCCTTTACACCCTTTACCGTTCCCAACATTATTCCCGCAGCTGGGTGTCGCAAAACGCACACCTCTGCATGACCCTTGAAAAAACAGCAATCCAAAAATGCTCGAGCCAGCGGGTAAGTCTCAATTCTCCCCCCAAAGGTTCTACATTTTACACTTCTTCCCAAATAGTCAGATTTAGGCACTAGGTATTTTGCAACCCCGATTACATTGGCGCCACTGTCCCTTAACACAGTACAACTTTTCTGACCCACATACCCTTTATGGATGGGTAACCCCCCGATCTGAAAGGTTGCTGATAAGGTGGGGTATATAACTTGGGGTCTTACTTTCACTATGTCATTGTATATTTGGGTAGATCTACCGTTGTCTCCTACCTGTGCCGCACTTGCTTTACCCTTTACTACTTTAGGGCATACACTACGTTTGTGTGGTCCTGAACACAGGAAACACTTAATAGTTCTAGATCTGAAAAAACTTTTTCCCGGTGGGTTGTCATCATCCCTCCTATCCCTATACTGGCAGTCCTCAGATCTGTGTCTCCAGGACCCACAAAATTTACAGCCGGGCTGCTCATTATTAGTGAGGCCCTTCCACTGTTGCTTCCCCTGTTTGGGCCTCTGGACCGTTGTCGAATCCTTATTCCTAAAGCTCCCATGATTCTGTGTAACCGGAGAAGGTCTGACCTGAAGGCCTGCCGCTGCTGGGAAAAAATCGTCAATTTTCTCCTTATGTATCGCCTTCCCTGGATGAGCTGTGATATATTGTTCACCCAGTGTGATCATATCCTCCAAACTCCTAGGTTTTCTTTCTTGAAAAAAAAGTACACAAATCATTGCTGCAGGATAATAATACCTTGTCTCTCAAAATAAGATCAACCAATTTATCAAAAGATGTGCCGACCTCTGCCAAGTTCACCCACCTGAAAAAAAATGGTTTTTACTTGAGCAACATACTCAGAGAAACTGACATCTGGTGTAGGCATCAGTGTATGAAACTGATTCCTATAACCTGCTTCTGTTAACAACCTAGATGCCAACAATTTCTGACGTACAACAACATACGACTTTCTCTCCTCTTCTGAGAAATTACTAAATGTTATTAGTACTTTCCCAGTCAGTAGGTCTCGCAGTCGAGACACCCATTGTGCTTCTGGGATGCGTCCACTGCGCATCGCATCTTCAAAACGGTCCAAATAAGAATGAATATCATCCTGGATACCAAGGTAAGGTAACCTTGGCTTGTAGTTGCTCAAATCATGATCACCATAATCTTTGTTACCTTCCTTTGCATCCGCCGTCTTGCTGGCCTCTGCCAGAGCTACAGCCCTATCTCTTTCGATCCGAGCTAATTCCAGCTCTTTATTAGCTGTAACTGTCATGGCTTCTACCTCTGCCATCTCCCTCCTATGGGCCCTCTCCGCAGCTCTCTCTTCCCTCATGGCGGTCTCTCTTTCAGATAGCTCTCTCATCCTAGCCTCTGCGAAGGTGACTACATGTTCTGCCTCCAGGCCTAGGTCTCTAGCCATCTGAACGAATTCGCTGAATGACATGTCAGTATTTTTACGCGGTATGACGAGATGCTATAAAATGGCACACTAATCACGCACGGAGACCTTTACAATATTCACGTAGCCTAAACGTAACTGGACGACCTAAACACACTACTTTGACGATGAATAACAGATCAAAAGACAAGAAACATAGGGCTACCAAGCATACACAATGCAGCGAACAATGCAATAAACTTTTGAATCCAAAAAACTAACCACAAAGTACATCACCTCATGAATATCGCATCCAAACAATGATGGTGAAGCATTTCCAATTCACACTCAGAAGCAGCTTAGCGGAAATCGATCGCTCCACTCACAGGAATACCGCAACTGTAAATATCAGCTGATCAGCGCTCTTCATTAAACACGCTTAGAAACATGACACACGGGCAGCATCCATCCTTGCAAAACCATATTTGATCTCCTTCAGTGTCACTACATGCTTCACAGTTCATTGACTTTAGGTAAGTGGTTTCCTGGCTTGACCTCGAAGAAAAAGATCACAGCAAAGTCAAGTTCTCCACTGCGACGTCTCCGCTTGACGGCCTTGATCTTAGTGACGCAACACGGGTTGACTTCGATGACAGGCGATGATATCTCCTCCCAGCGACTAATTCTGTGGGCAAGACTTTGGTTCCCAATGAAGAATTCTCTAGGCCAGGTTTCAGTGCCTAATTATGAATTCTCTGGGACAGGCTTCGGCCCCCATTGACGATACTTCTGACTAAAGAACAAAACCAATGGGACAAAATGTCGTATCACACTTGTGACCAGAGGTCCCTCATTCTTTAAAGGCTTGGCTCCCCATTGACGTGTGCGAATGTTCGCTTGATACAACGCACACTTGCCAAGTATCCATGGTATGTTAAATAGTGTTACAGTAACAAGTCACCATTCCCGCCCAACAGCAATAAGGACGCCGGATACATGTTGAACGTCAAACAGAATTAATGTATTTCTAATTTCAACACCAAAACAATGAAAGGCATCACGAGAATAAAACGTTACACCGCCACAGTCATTCCTACTGGCAAGGCAACACACACTACGGACGCTCTGGGCTACTTCTACTGCCACCCTGTTCCGTGGTCAACTACGAGCAAACATTACCTGCTCGTGCAAACTCACTGCTCGTGATTATGTGTCTACCTCTATGACACCCATCCCTTGGGTACACTGTCATAGCAGAATCATACAGGCCGATGCCACAGTACATTGTGAAACTTGTCCAGACCTTTCGTCTGCGGCCACACGAGCGTCTGTCACGCTGGCGCGACCGCTGTAACAACACTCACAGACAGCCCGTACCCTACCGCCAGCGTAACACAGTTATGCAGGACCAGCCTGGATCCATCCAGATTAGAACAGGCTTCCTACACAGCGTAGTAGAGTCCACCGTTACTCACTCTCTCCCTCTCTCTCTACATCACGTTCAATGTGTGCGCACCGCACCAAGTCCCACGTTCAACAATGAACTTCCCTTCCCATATATTGCACACAACACATGGTCGACCTGACATCACAGAGTAGCCAAACATAAAAAAGCTTTGGCCTGAAAGCGCAACCAGGAAAAGGAAGGGAGCATTTTACCTTACTATCATCATCATCATCAGTTCTCGTTATGCCTAGTGGCACATGAGGCTTCAGAGAGGACTTTCCCTGCTTTCCTGTCCTGTATTCAATGCCATGCGGTCCAATATTTAAATGCACGTCGACATAATACCGTCCATAGAAGGCATACATAATCATGTTTAGTCCATAGAAGGCATACATAATCATGTTTAGTCGAGGTTTCAGCATCAATGCAGGCCATACTTGTTTTTTTTCTGTGCTGTGCAATCTTCAATGCAGTTTTCCATGTCAAAGATGCCACACTCAGGTCACTTTCCATCGTTCGTCTCCATGTTGTTTTTTAGGCGCTCTTTTTTCTATTTCTTTCTGGTATCCATGTGAGAGCTGTTTTAGCAGGTATGTCAGGATTCATTCTCATAACGTGGCCGAGCCATTTCCATCTTCTCTTGGTTATCATACTATCTAAAGTTTCTTGGAAATTTTTTTTTTTTTTTTTACCTCACTAGTTGTGTAATTATTATTCTGTTGCTGTGTTCGCTGCTAAAGATTATGGTCGAAGTGTGCAGTTAGTTACCGTTGTTTTTGTCCTTTCCTTCCCCAATAGACCTGGTTTTGTTTCATGTTTAGTTACCTCAGATTCCACATAGCACTTCAACATTTTTTTTTTAATTTTTTTTACAAATATCATCTGGTACTGAAATATGAAAGTCAAGGGGAAACGAGGAGGTCCAGTAGAAAGACTAAGATGGGCGTTGTTGAGAGAGACCAGTAAAGGGGAAGTGGGTTCTTTCCAAGAAGGAATCATGATTGTTCTGGATACAACGGAATCGGGGATTAGACTGTGTGACATTTGGTATTACAGCAGGAATGTTACTTGTTGTCCGTACTGACACACCAGCATATTGATGCTCATTCTGTCTCATCCATGCGTCTTCCTCTGTTTCAGCAACCTCCTAGTGTCTAAATGTTCATCGTCCCCCGTAAGAATTGAGTCTTTCTTTGCGTCCTGCAACCCCTTTCTGCATGCTTGTCTTTGTTTAATACTCACTCCAACAGGATTCTTTGTCTAACCTATCGGGAACGCTGCGAATCCAGCGTGTCTGTCCTGTTCATATTTTCTCCTTCTCTAACCACAGTAGGTACGACAAGCCTGTCGCTTCTTTTATTCCAATTTACAACATCATAGTCAGGTGAGTACAGCCAAATTAGATTCTTTAGGCGGAATTTCTGTAGGATGTCCACCCATTATAGTTAAAGTATGCCAGTTTGGATTTTCTTTAAACACGTTCATTGAGTCTGTCGCTATGAATGTTTGACATGCTTTTGATTTAAGCTATTTTTGACATTTGGTATTCGACAGCATGAAAGAAAATCACTTCTCAGGAGCATACAGCATATCAATCATCAAAGGCATGTAAACTGTACTGGTTCCCTTTCATTCTTTCTTTTTTCATTGCTCAGAAAATTTACAACCAACTGGATCAACAAGTACAGAACTTCACCTTGGCACTGCTGGACCAGTGTCAAAGTTCAGATGAGGTCAAGGCTATACTGAGTGGGAAACAAAAGCCACGTGACATGTACAATGAGACTATTGACGTGGAAAAGCTCAGTGATCACGTCAGCAACGAAGGAGACATTCTACCCCTGGTCTACACGGCTGTGAGGATGGAGCAGAAAAAGGTTAGTTCTTGTACTGACGAAGGATTTTATAACGAAACGTCACATATTTAGACACAACAGTCTCTTTTCTTCACGTGTTTTGTTGTTGTATTAATGCCACGAACGACCAACAGAGTAGAGAACAAGAAATTTGGAAAATAACTACTTTTGGCTAATAAAGCCTATGCATTGTGTAGACAATAAATTAAAAGGCCTGAACTTTTACAGAGAATGACATCTTGTAAGGCAGATATCAACAGAGGAGAGGAGAAAGAGAGAGAGAGAGAGAGAGAGAGAGAGAGAGAGAGAGAGAGAGAGAGAGAGAGAGAGAGAGAGACGTAGAGTGCTAAGCAGACCCACTGTATTGTGGACAGTTAATATGTCCCTGACATTCGAAGACAGGAAATGAGAAGGAGGAAAAGGAAGCAAATAATAAGCAGAAGAGGAAGCGAAGAAGAAGAAGAAGAAGAAGAAGAAGAAGAAGAAGAAGAAGAAGAAGAAGAAGAAGAAGAAGAAGAAAAAGAAGAAGAAGAAGAAGAAGAAGAAGAAGAAAAAAAAGAAAAAGCAAAAGCAAAAGCAAAAGAAGAAAAAGAAGAAGAAGAAAAAGAAAAAGAAGAAGAAGAACAAGAACAAGAAGAAGAAGAAGAAGAAGAAGAAGAAGAAGAAGAAGAAGAAGAAGAAGAAGAAGAAGAAGAAGAAGAAGAAGAAGAAAAAGAAAAAGCAAAAGCAAAAGCAAAAGAAGAAAAAGAAGAAGAAGAAAAAAAAGAAAAAGAAGAACAAGAAGAAGAAGAAGAAGAAGAAGAAGAAGAAGAAGAAGAAGAAGAAGAAGAAGAAGAAGAACATGACATTCTATGCACTTCCCATATATATATAAACATACATATATATATGTGCGTGTGTGTGTGTGTGTGTGTGTGTGTGCGTGCGTGCGTGCGTGCGTGCGCGCGCGCACACAATTTAAAGAGAAGCACATTATGATAAACGAAATTAAACATCATTGCTTCGCACCATCTAGAAAACAAAAATAGTAAAAAAAACCAAGACGTGTGCTGTTTGTTCCTGTGCGCCTTTTTATTCACCGTCTTCATTTCCCTGGAGTAAAAACATTGGCCAGATCTAAGTCACCCCAGTGCGGACTCTAATCAAAACAGGCACGGCTTTGTCTACCAGTCTGTAGGCTCGGAAGCCTAACAGATGCACAAATAAACAAGACAGTGACGTGGAATGAACCAAAGGTGTGGAGTGACATTTTGTATACCTCTGATTATTTTTTTTGTTCTTCTTCTTCTTCTTCTTCTTCTTCTTCTTCTTCTTCTTCTTCTTCTCTTCTTCTTCTTCTTCTTCTTCTTTCTCTTCTTTTCTTCTTTCTTCTTTCTTCTTCTTCTTCTTCTTCTTCTTCTTCTTCTTCTTCTTCTTCTTCTTCTTCTTTCTTCTTTTCTGCTTCTTCTCTTCTTCTTCTTCTTCTGCTTTCTTTTCTTCTTCTTCTTTCTTCTCTTCTTCTTCTTCTTCTTCTTCTTCTTCTTCTTCTTCTTATTTCTTCTTCTTCTTCTTCTTTCTTCTTCTTCTTCTACTTCTTCCTCTTCTTCTTCTTCTTCTTCTTCTTCTTCTTCTTCTTCTTCTTCTCTTTTCTTCTTTCTTCTTCTTCTTCTTCTTCTTCTTCTTCTTCTTCTACTCTTCCTCTTCTTCTTCTTCTTCTTCTTCTTCTTCTTCTTCTTCTTCTTCTTCTTCTTCTTCTACTACTTCCTCTTCTTCTGTTTCTGCTTCTTCTCGTTCACCGACTGTAAACACTGGCGGAAAGCTCTGGTTGTTCGTAAATTCTGGCCGTTGGTCTTCCTCCAGAACCTTAGCTTTGGGCGCACAACCGTTTTACAGGTCTGGTTTATTTGTATGTCTGTTGGTTCCTAGCCTCTCAGACAGATCCGCGGTCTTTAAAGGAAAATCTGTGATTATATTGATTTATACAACATGGTTGTTAAGGAGCAGCTAATCCTTCCTACCATTCCCGGATTATTATTATAGCTTTTTTTGTTGTTGTTGTTGTTTAAGGTCGAGTGGGGCTTTGGTAGTAAATGATGCAACCTGAGACTATATAGCTAAAGGGGTACATACAGGAGCTGAATTGGTAACTGTAGACTATACTGAATATATCGTCAGTTTATCCTTGTCAGTTCCTCTGGCCTTGTTGTGGAGAAATGCTCACTATCCCGATGCGAGAGGCCTGTTTATATCGAGTGGTGGACGAAGATCAGTCTCAGAGGGGTTTACCACTAGAACAAGCCGGAGCCTCACGTCATCTAAACTGC